AAACTCAGGGAGCACCAAGGACCCCACAGTTCAACCCTAAGCTACTTTTCTCATTTATCCGTTCTTTCTTTATTCATGGCTCTCTCTCTGATTTCACTTTGCCAGGGTGCCCTCTGCTGACCACCACGGGACTTTCAGGCCTGGCTCAACTCCACGACTTGGAAGAACTGGAGCTGACCAATTGTCCAGGCGCGACTCCAGAGCTCTTTAAATACTTTTCCCAACACCTGCCTAGCTGCATGGTGATTGAGTAAGCCACTCGCTAGGAAGATCTGGCCAAATCCTGGAGCCATGCTCTCCAATCCTAACTCAGCACTGACCAACCATCCAGAGCCAAGGTTTTCTTTATTTCTTCGTCATTGATATATAACTGTATACGGAGATATATAGATATATATGGATGATTTCTTTCCAGAAGAGGGTGCTGTGACTTGAAAAAAAAAAATCACACGCTCACACATGTACACTCAAACGGGGAAAAACAGTGTGGCAGATGCACACGAACAATTGAGAAAGAGTTGGTCATTAGGCGGATCGGCCGTAGCTCTAACGCAAGTGGAAGAATTGACCCTCAAGTTTGTAAATCCCGATGTCGCCATTATCTCTCATCTTCCTCATAGTGAGCTGTTTGGAAATCTTACCTTTTGGGGGTAAAAAAACAAAAAACCAAGAATAAGGGAAACACACACCCATGTTGCACCGAAACCCCAACAGCAAAACCAAATGAAAGGGATGTAGGTTTAAACCAGCCAGAAAAAAATCCCAACGGCCGATTAGCCTGGTTGGCGAGCAAGCCGACATCAGTGCTGAATGAAAAAACGATTTGTGCCCATCCGGGCATTTCATCGTTACGGGCCAAGAGAGAGGTTTGCGTCTATGAGCCTCCCCGATCTGGGTGCGGCGTTAAGGATCAAGGGGAGTCAGCCCTTGCGAAGGCCTTCGAGGTATGGATGTTGGACGGTGGAACCTGCCCACAAAAGGCAGGCGTTGTTTACATTGGAGGTTGGGAAGTTTGAACAAGTCGTAACAGAGCCCTCTGGAGAATTCCTCGGGCGGGATGGAGCATCAACAGTGGTGAAATGGAGCCGCTTCTGAATTCCAAGCATGGAACGCTGCAGAAGTGAAAGGACTCTTGTTGGCGGGAGGAGAGAGGGGAAGAAGAAGAAGAAGAAGAAAAAGAAGAAGAAGAAGAAAAAAACTGACCAATGCTGTGAGAGAAATGGTCCCGGAAGTTCATGGAGCTCTGGATTTTGGGGAGCTCCTGATTCTTGGACGTTCCAGCAAGTGGATCAAAGCTAGAGAGTAAGGAGATCCATTGGACCTAAACTGTCCCAGCTGACTCGAAGCTCATGCAACGCACGATCCTTGATGGATCCCATCTGCCTCCTTCCCTTTGTTTTCTTCTCTCCCTCTTCCTTTCTCTCTCTTTTTTCAATTTGGTTTCGACTCTTGATTTTTGTGAATGAATAAGGAGGGGTTTCTCCCCTCCCTCCCTCCCTCTCTCTCTCTCTCTCTCTCTCTCTCTCTCTCTCTCTCTCTCTTGCCCTCTCTTTGGAGCAAAACCACAGCCTTTGCATGTTGGCTTGCTTTGCGTCTTGTGATAAGGTAGAGTCTCAATTCTGCTTTTGGGCTGTGGGTGGCAGTTTTTTGATCCTAGCTTGGCTCGTCTGTTCTGGTGTTAAAAAAAAAAAATAGAAGAAGAAGAAGAAGAAGAAGAAAAAGCTGATGTGGCTTGTTATACCATCCTTGTTCCATTTCTCCAAACCACGCAGGTCATCAGCTGTCCATCCCAGTCTTCTTCAAGAGGGATGAAAACACCTCGTTTCCTTCCTACCAACCCCAGTTCCATCTTCCATCCTGGGAGACACCCCCCCATCAATCACCAGATCCCCTTCTTTCCTTCCTGACTTCACCCCACCAAACCAAGGGGAAGCGGTACTCGTTGGGGCTCTTCCAAGCCAAAATTTGCTGCTGACCAGATGTCTGGTGACTCGTGGCTTTCGCCCCATCGGTTTTTTTTTAGAAGCCATTTCCAAGGCCCCTGTGGAACGATACAGGGGGCTAAGGGCACCTCCAGCCTTCCGGCATTCGTCCTTCAGACCCAGAGATCTGTTCTGGGGCAGAACCATGCACTGGAAGAAGAAGAAAAATGGGAGAGCTCCAGGCTCTTTAAGCCATGGGTTCGAGTTGAATTTCCAGCCTTGGGAATCTCTCTAGGATGGCTGGGCAGGTAAAACCACCCCCTTCTGTGCTTTCGAAGAGCTGCTGGGCTCTTCTTACAACCCAAGTAGAGTGCCTGTGTGGGTTTTGGTTCATTTTGGTTCACTTCTTTGGAAGAGAAAGGAGGGAGAACCCATTTCTAAGGGTGGGTATGTCAACGGCAGTGAAACTCTTTTCACCATTCCTATCTCCAAGAAGCTACTGGAATGGGCACTGGGTGCTTTCCACTCTCCAAAGTTGGTAGGATAAAAACCATATCTTTATTTTTTGTTCCCCCTTTACTGCATGGGGCAAACCATGGAAGCAATGCATTCCCTTCCCCCCAAGATCCAGTTCTCTGCATGCTAATAAACATAGAAAGAAGCAGGCATGGCAGTTAATACTAATATTTTCATGCCAGAAGCACCTACGTGCTTTTGTGGCTAAAGGATTTGCTGGTGACATCCCCGTTGCCTGGGGGATTCCCAGGAAGCTCACCAAAGTTGCCCATCAAAGTGGTACCCATTCATCTACTTGCCTGCTTTTGGAGCCGCTGGGTTGGTGGGAGCCAGAGTATATGACGGGCGCTCAACCCACCTTGAGGCAACAATGGGTCTCGAACGCAAAGGTGCCGATTGTCAGCCTGGCATTCTAACGTCAGGAGCCATCGCGCTCCCAGTATGGTGGTTGAACCTATGGAAGCCCTGACTTGGTGGAACTTTAGCCTCGTAAAAACTGGGGAAAGCAGGGAAGATTATCTTGAAGGTGGGCTTCAAAAAATATTGCACCTAATGACTCGGAACTACCCTTGGGCCTCAGAATGGCATGCGGTCTGAGCTCATTTCTTTCTTTTAGGACCCATAAATAGGGCAGCCGAGGGGGCCTTGCCGTAGGCTCTTGCATGTCATTCTATCTTCTCGGGAGGAAGAGGAAGGGGGAGGTGGCTATCCAGGCAGGCAGGCAGGCTGGGGATGCCGGGAGGGGTAGTTCAACAGGTCTGGAGAAGCCCAGTTTGGGAAAATTGCCTTTGTGGTTTTTTCCCCACCAGATTGTCTCCCCTAGACCACAGTCCTGAAGTAGCCATCTTGCCAGGCTTCTGGCCTTGAGCCGATAGCCGATGAGACAGCGTTGAGTTCATGAGTGCCTTTGGTGGCCGCCTTGTTTTTCTTACTGATTTAAATAAAGCCAAAAATTAATGATAATACACCCACCAAACTATCATAGCCCTTCAGTTCTGATCTTGGGGGAAAAGAGAGATGCCACACCGTAAAGCCTGGCCTGAGGCTATACCATCTCTTGAGCTCTTCCAGCAGCTGAGCGATGACCTCTCTGTATGCCAGCGGACGACAACCACTGTGTACCACACTATGGTTTCTGAGTCTTCCCAACACATGCATCTTGCCCAGGGCTTCATCTGCGCCTGGAATTTCACTACCAGCCATGCAGTTTTGCCAAAATGGTCGGGTGGCTACCACTCACACCACCATTTGCATTCTTTTTCCCAAGCGGCCAACCTCATTTTCTGTGGAAGCAAAAATCACACTGAACAGATCAGGTAGATGAATGAGATACAGGTAATCCTCCAGTTACGGCCACAATCGAGCCCAAAGTTTACGTGGTTAAGTGAAAAAAAATGTGTTGAGTGAGCTTTGCCCCATGCTTTACGAGCTTTCTTGCAACCGTTGTTAAGCGAATCATTGCAGTTGTTAAATTAGGAACGTGGCTGTTAAGTGGATATGGCTTCCCCATTGAGTTTCCTTGTCAGAAGGTGACAGAATGACCATGGACACCACAACCGTCATAAATTTGAGTCAGCTGCCAAGCGGCTGAATTTTGATCATGTGACTGTGGGGATGTAGCAACGTTCATAAGCGTGAAAACCAACAGTAAGTCACTTTTTTCAGTGCCCTTGTAATTTTAAACGGTCACTAAACGGACTGTTGTAAGTCGAAGTCTACCTGTAATACAGCCCAATAACAGATACCTTTGGATCTGCTGTTGATTTCTTCAGCTCAGGTCAGTGAGCTGCCTCTCCTTTGGCAGAAGGCTTTCAAAATTCAAAAGAAAAATAACTTTGCTGCATATTTGTAAAAAACAAACAAACAAACCCAAACCTTTTGATAAAATTCCCATCCAGAAATTATCATAGTTTGGAGAGCACTCAGTTAGATTTCTGACCAATATTTTTTTTTTTTAAGGCTGTACTTTTTCTTATCGGAATAGTAAAGATTATGGTTTTATTATTTTATGAATGATTTAGGCTGAGAAATAAGTACATTGCAGTACAGTAATTCAAAACCAAGGCAGGGCATTGTCCCACCAATTTGGTGTTCAAATGAAACCCTAGGGTAAACCAAAATGGTATCGTC